AAACCAGGTAGAAGATATGATATGTAAGAAACAGGTATGAGGTTGTCACTGAAATAAAAGTAGATAAGATATGTCATTAAAATATTTACTTAATATAGATGTATCATTACAAAATACTATCCTTATTATCCTAAAACAAAATTTRTAGGCAATAGAATATTTCCTTTACATTTGCTCTAAGAAACCTCAGTCTAGGGAAAACTCTCATGGTTGGAGGAGGGAGGAATCCCTCTGCAAGAGAGGAGCAGCAGGAGTTGGCAGTGCCTGGCCGAAGAGAGGGCTCCTGTGGTCAGATGGTCAGGAGATTAATTAGTTACATACAAAATGACTGAGAAAAKAAGTAGATTGAGAATGTACAAACCAGGTTCTCACCATTGGGGATGGAGGTACATACATGGAAAGGGGAGGTTGGAATAAACCATATGAGGCTGAAATGATGTGTACCTATGGTTTCTAATAGATAAATATATTTGTACTTCAATGTGGATACAGACAGGTGGAGATGTATAGATGTAGATATTCTAGTGTCTGCTCAGAAGACCTACCTAGCACATGAAAAACCAGGAGCAATGAACCCATCCAGCACCAGGGCTTGGTTTTTAAAACGAGTAGGGGATTCCTGAAGAATGACAGATTATAGAGCTGAGTCTATGAAAATGCAAGCCTGGACCATTTTGTGCCAGAATGATAGAAACAATGCAAAAGACACAAGGTCCAGCTAGACAGAGGTCCCAGAAACCAAACTGGGAACAACTCGAGCATCAAAATAAATGTTAAAAAGTTATAGCTCACTGAATAAAATAAGAACCCACGAGTCCACACTGAAATACATGCATGCATACATATATAGGTACATAATTTGAGATGTATCTCTGTTTCATCATCAGTTCCAAGGGCAGCAGCTGGCAAGGGACAGATTGTTCTCCACTGATATTGAGTAGCATGGAGCAGCTCTCAGTGCTGTAGCACTAAAATAGGGGACTATGTCCTCCAGAGTTTCAATAAAACCAGGAGCTCACCGCCAACTGCTTTCCAAATTCTTATCTCAAATCCCAGTGAAAGGAGGAGGATTTATTCAAAAGTGAAGAATATAAACAGAACTCCAAGGAGGGGTGGGGAAGASAAGACCCTCTATAGTAATTGCCCCTTGAGTGTGCTAGTCTAAGGGWTTATCTAGTACTTGGGTCAAGACTACTGGTTCAAATTTATGCTAATCAGGGTTTGGAATAGTACTGACACWATTGGTTAAAATTTATGCTAATCAGGATTTGAAAATTGCCAATGCTACTGGTTAATCCTGCATCCCATTCAGGTCTGCCCCACTTCCATTTCCCATCCCATCCCCCACTCAGGAGGAAGCAGGAGTTTGAGGTCCTCCAATCATGGACACTGGAAGGTTCTGAGCTATGGCATTAGTGGAGAGTCTGGCCAACACCCACCTGGGCCAAGCCACCATGGGGTGACAGGTGGGTGTACCCTGGCTTGCCTTAGCCCTAGTTCACTGCATCTCAGGTCTGCACTGGCACGAGGGGCTCCTTGCTGCCATGGCCCAGTGCTCCTCAGCTGTGCCAGCTCCCCTAGAACTCCCACCACCACTAGGTCTTGGCTTCACATACATACACACAGGGAAAAACCGACATCSTGTGTCTTCCAAAATGAGAAGTAACCAGAATCATCTTTGTAACATTCCTGCCAAAAATGCACAACCTTAACCTACTGGGGAGGAAACATCAGAAAACCCCAAACTAATGGAAAATCTTCAGAGTAATAGGCTTATACTGGAAAATCATCAAGGTCATGAAAGACAAGGAAATCCCTTGGGTAAAGTAGACTAAAAAGAATGATACCCTAATGAGTTGAGGAACCTTGAATTGGTTCCTTCTGCTATATAGAGCATTGGGACAAGGAGATCTGTGAATGGGGTCCATGGTGACATGTATAATGGYAGTGCAATACTCAATGTTAATTTTCTGGCGCAAGATGTATACTATGGCTTAACATGTAAGTGAATTGTTTTCAGGAAACATACACTGAAGTACTTAGCAGTAGGGGTATCATTTTTCTCTTAATCTCAAGAGTATTAGGAAAGAAAAAGAAACATATTTTTTCAGGTGACTCCATAGTCACTCCAAGGGCTCCATAGTCTTAAATTTTCTACCAATTATGGATCAGAAATATATTTTTAAAAATTCATCTGTACTGAACAAGCACAGACTTTTCTTTCCTTGTCATTCCTCCCTAAACCATATAATCCAACAATTATTTACATAGTATTTACATTGTATTAGGTAAGGTAAATATGAAATATAATATTAAGTAATATCTAGAGATGAAAAGTATGCAGGAAGATGTACACAGGTTATATTTTGGTTCTATGCCATTTTACAAGACAGGGGCATACATGGATTTTGGATTTTGGATTTCTTGGAAGCTACCCCCTGTAAATACCAAGAGACAAGTGCTTACAAAAAGAGAAAAAGAGAATGGTAAGGCAAATGCAGTAGTGTGTTTGGAGAAAAAAAAATGCACAAGGGATATAGAACTTCTGAACGTAAGAGAAAGCACTTAGAAGGAAGTTGAATCTTAGACCAACTAGTTGATAAATTGACAAATCGCCAATTGGTATTTAGCACATTGGCCTTGAATCAAGTCATGTATCTTTCTAGGGAAAGAACCTGGCACAGAAAGTTGGATGCTTACGTTGCACCATGAAGGGGTTGAGGCAAATGGACTTGTGCTTTCCTCGCACCAGGTACCGATGGYACAGAGCTTTTCTGCAGTGCCTGTCTTCGGGGCCCTATTCAAGTGGATGCTCCTCTTTTACAGCTGGCTTTAGCAATGCCCTCTTGCTAACCTCAAGTGAAAGTCATGGAGAAGACAGTCTACCCACATGATTTTTGAAAACTCTGAGTTAAAGGAGAGGCTAAAGGAAATAATTTGTAATAAAATACCCATCTCAATATGTAAATGGGTGTGGCTAAGCTAGAAAACAATAAAAATATCAGATAGTCACACCTCTATTTGGAAGAATTGTCATGAATGAGATGCCTAAAGATTCAGGCTGGTTTTTCAAAATGGTGAGCAACTTTTGGTACAAAGTACAACTTGAGTTCATTTTCCAACATACATGYGTTCTTAGATAAAAGAGACATTTATCAAAATTGTGCAAAAACAAATGCCAGTATCATGTCTTAAATATAATGCAGTAGAAAAAATACATGGAGAAGAATATATAAAATTCATTTTTCAATCTTCAAATGCTCAAGGGAATGACTAGCCTAAAACATGAAGTGGCCAGACGCTTTATGCCTTTGTATAGGCTCATCAGGAATGAGACAACTAGCTACAAGTTCAGATTTTTGCAGGTATGTTATAGGGCAATTCCAATACTATGAGCAGCAGCATTGCCCTTGGTGATAATGTGATCAGAGTGATTCCAGTAATTTTCGGTAAATTCCTGAACATAATGAAACATAATCTTCTCTCACTTTACAAAGTAGACACTGTCATTGGCAAAGTCAGTACAGATCAGAATTACGCACAAAACAAAAGTTATATGTAGTACAGATAGGATCCAGTTTCTGCTAATTATCAAAACGCTTTCCATCCACTTCAATGTCCATTGAGACATGTGAGATTCAGGCAGAACAAGGGACAATTCTTCATGTATGGGACCCATCYATATCCCTCCTACGTGCATTGTTGAAAGTCACAATAAGATAGCCTATCCACATAATTTTGGAAAAATAGAGATATCATATCCTAACTATAAAATTAAAGGAGAGGCTAAAAGAAATAATTCAAAAATGCACATCTCAAAATGTAATTAGGCATGACTAAGCTAGAAGACAATAAAAGAYCAAAGGCCCCTCACACATTTCCAAATACCTGCTCAGCAGTGGGACTTCTCCAAACATCAAGGGGACTCCATAAACAATTGACCAGATGGGAAGCAGTGTCATCAGGACACAGTCCGCAGCTCTGCAGAGCGCTGACAGATGCCTGCATGCCTGTTGCAGTAGACATCAATCCTAAGGAAGGTTGGACCTTTCGGCTCACAGCTCTTCTTTTAAGCCCTCTACAGTGATATCCCCACCACAGGCAACTGATGAAAGCATGAATGAGTGAACAGGTCACTGTTTTTGATTTGCTGTAACAAACAATACAGATGTTTTCTGGAAAGAGGTCAGTAAGTTCAAGTAACGGGAAGTGTAAATGGGAAGGGAACATGCCCTTAGATGCAGAGTTAGAAGCAGTCAGGCGTCACAGCTGGGGAACAGAGCCAAGTTTCCACGGGCTCCTTTTTTGCCTCTGCCATAGTCATTTCTCTGYTGTTCGACGGTCCCAACTTTCTCAGCTCCAAGGTCAGTGATGGCTCTGCCTCCATAATCTCTCTGGTTCGGCTTCCCCTTCATCTGTACCCATGAACGAAAACTAGAAAGCCCTACAGGATTCCCCTCAGGACAGAGGGATTCCTGGAAGGAATCCTTCTGGAACTTCTCCTCACCTCTCTGGATGGACATCCATGGGTACCATGAGTGGTGGCACAGGATCATGGAGTCAGGGTCCTCAGGGAGCAGGATCCCAGATTCTTCATCTTTGTTCTATTTGATGTAAATTCTGAGTGCTTAACACTTTGTAGTTGTTCAAAAATGCATACCTATGTTTGTTATGGTTTCGATTATTTTCTTTCCATGGACAAAGGAAAAAAAAAATCAATAGCTTCTCAGCTGTTTCCTGGGCCTCGAAATTCAGTCTTTACAAGATRGAAGTGGGTCTGTGAATCTGTGAAGATTATTTTCACCTGCTAAACATTTTACTGTCAATCTTTTCATGATGAATTTTTTTTAAATTCAGCAAATCCGCAGCAATTTCAGCAATTAAATGCACTAAATAGAAGTAATTTCCCAAAGATAGAGGCAAGCAGATTATACACTTGAATAAAAGATCACAAACTAGATACCCCTTAGAGACTTACTTCCCAGTGCCAGGAACAGAATGCTCACCTCTATCTCTTCCAGGACAGGTGGATGCCATCCTTGTGCAGGGGCCATGCTCATCTTCCCTAGATCCTTCCACTTCCAGTGTCTATGCTACCAAAACAAGCACTTTCCCAGAACGAGGGGGTCCATTTAAAAATGCAGCYCAAGAAATTGGCCTCTTCCTTCCTATTTCCCTAGTAAACTCGTACCCTATGGGGAGTACAAGAGCCACTGAATAAGGCTGCCGACTAAAGTCCCTTTTGCCTGACCCACTGGCATAGCTCCCCTTAGCYGGGTTCAGCATCCAGACCTCTTTCCCTCACACCAAACAGAAATGTTTACATGAATCAGTAACGAACCCAAATCTCAGTCCATGGAGTGAGTTCCTCCTTTCCACACCTCCCTGCCCGGCAGTGTCCCTGCCCATGCAGTCATGGATGGAAGACTCTTCCTGTTCCCTCAAGAAGCTGAAGTCCCATGGCATTGGATAAATGAAGCTCTTGCTTTTATTTCCAAAAGAATGTTTATTTGCAGCAAATATATCTTTTTCTAGGCCAGAGCCCCAGAAACCATAGGCTACATTCAAAAGGCATTCAATAAAGTATGTCTGAGTCTTGGAACACTGATGCAAAACAGATAGACCTCTATTTTCTCCATTCTCAGATCTTGGTATTCAACATCAGCGTGAATATTCCTTTTCCTTCTTTGTGCTGAATGCTCACAGCTAAGCCAGTTAGGCTCAGCCTGTGAATGAATATAAGGCTGAAGACTCAATCATGGCAACTTCCGGAGGTCAGCTCTGACAGCCCCCTTACCCAGCCTAATGAGCATCTGGTGCTGCATTCTTCTCCCGTGTGTGTGTGTGTGTGTGTGTGTGTGTGTGTGTGTGTTGCTCCCTCCCATGCTTGAGGGAAGAGATCTTATAAAACTCTGTCTTCCCTACCCCCCACATAGCTCTCCAAACAAGGAAAGACGCACACTAGTAACCTAAATCTTGTTGAACAAAGGAATGAATGAAATAAAGCACTCTGGCTCTGTTCCCAACTCTGGAAAAATAACTCTCAGCATATGTCTCCCCAGCACACTTGCTGAAACGTCTCCATGACACTCAGATGCTTGCTGCTGAGCCCACAGACCCCCATGCCTCTCCCTCTGTGCCGAACAGGAAGGAACCAGGTGTCCTCAACAATCCCCAGTGCCAGGAGGCAAGCAGTGCAGTCTCTGCAGATGTGCCAACTGACCCTGAGAGAGGGAGGAGAAATTATTGAAATAAATGAATTTTGAAAAGCATCCCACAAAAGCAGAAATGCTCTCGTGCCACCCCTCATGCATCTGGGATGTGACAGGTGGCATATACTGTAATTATCACAGACCACATGTGCAACGCCAGGACAAATGAAGAGTATYGATGGCAGTGTCACACAAGCCCAAAATCTTTGAGTCACCAGGAGACTGAGAGTCCAACGCTGGGAAATGTTCACTAAACCAAGGAACGTTTGTCCGCCCCACTCCGATATGCTTGAATCCTACTAGTGAACAAACATTGGACTCAACTCTAACACTCCAGAGTCCATAGCACCATCTTCACTATTAGACCCTGATCTCAAATCCTCAAAACTCAAGCACTCGATAGATACAGGGGGGTCCAAGTATGATAAGGGACGACATCTGGAGCAGACACTATTGACATTCTAAGCTGCCTGAGTCACTGTCAGCAAGGAGCTGTCAAGTGGAGCCTGCTATTGAGTTTATGCCAAATGACTGATTAGGAGTGAGATTTAAAGAGTGATAGGTGAGGGTGGATAGGAGTACAGTGGACAGCCAGAGGTTTTTGTATCCGTGAAAAGATACTAAATGTCCAGCAGCAGCAGAACAATACAATCAAGTTGGTGTTTTGTTCACAAGTCAAAGCAAGGTTTCTCAGAAAACAAGCACCCAGGAAAGAGGAGGCCTGAAGCCACAGCATCAAGGACAGCCCAGAGAGACCCTGGAGGGAAACTAAATGCAACAGATGCTCCAGAAGTCTCTGAGAAAGCTGAAGACCTGGTGCATAGTGTGGTAATTTATACAGAAGAACAACAGAGATGAAACGGSCCACCTGAGGGCGTGTGGAGCAGGTCAGGCTGAAAGAATTACCACACCCAGGTCAACCCCCACGGGGGGCCCAGCAGAGGAGTGGACGGATGATCGCCCACGTGCTCCATGTCTCCTGTGTCCACAGGTGAGTGGTATGCGAGAAATAAATGCAATTGCGAGTGTCTCTGGTGAAATTCCCTTCTTGAGCTCTGAGGGATGATGGCTGCCTTCCATAATTGGAACCATCAAGTCACCAGAAGGATTTGAGAAACCCCCCTATCCACGTGCTGGTGGCAAAGAGGGAACAGTGGGCTCAGAGCCCCCGAGGGGAGGTCCGTGACCACTGTTTAATTAGGTGTAAATCTGTACTGTCACCACTAAAAACACTTGTCTGAGGGACCCAGTCCCTGAACTCCTATGAGCAGATTTTTTTTTCCATGAAAAGGCCTCACCGTGGCCTCCTAATGTGAGTTCCGGATGTTTCTTCCTGACTCCTGCTCCCACAAAAGAAACCTACCTCAAGAAGGAGGCTGATTGGCTGCTGAGACGGAGGGTCTTCTTGGTGACTCCCCCCACCAGTCCATCAAGCATGCGTGACATATTTAAATTCCACTAATGGGCAGAAATGGGACTCACGCTATGGCCACCCACAGGACTGACTAATGGCTATTGAGTTCAGACGTGGGGGTCCGGAGGAGGGGGCAGAGGAATGATAATTGAGTCTAYAGAAGCAAGACATGTGCTAGAGAGACAAAAAGCACCGCAGAAGACGTCGGGAGACGGGCAGGGCCTCTGCTCATGGAGCGTTCCGAGTAATTAGGGGGAAGGTGCTCTCATGAGACCAAACAATTCAGGGCTGAGTGGCTTCTTGACCCTGGCTGGACATTAGGGCCACTACAGAGCTTTTAAGAAACACAGTCAGCCTGGCCCCACCTCAAGATATTTCAATTCATTTGAAATTGGAGGAAGTGCAGGTAGCCATATCATTTAAAAGCTGTCTGGGTCTTTCATTTTAGTGTGTAGCCACAACTGAACCATTTATTCCAACTACAGGACCAGGAAGAGGGAGATCTGGAGRACAGGAGTGGCCAGGGAAGGTTTCCCAGAAGGACAGACAGGAAAGGAAACAGGAACCCAGGGAAAGGAGTATGCCTGCACGCAGAGGCTGGGAACACGCAGGGCAGTGGCACACACCTGATCTAGACAGGGGGAGGGCGGACCCCAGGTGGACTGGTCCTTCTCATGCACAACACATCCCACTGACAGGCACTTTTCCCTCGTGGCTTTTCTGAACTTATTTTGAAAGTGTCCCATATCTTTTATTGGCTCCTTTTAGTCATACATAACATCAGGATTCATTCTGGCATAATTATAAAAGCATGGAATAAGATTTGCTCTAATTCAGTCCGCAGTACTTCCCCTTTTCCTCCCCTCCTCCCTCCCCCTGTTTCCCTCCCTCTACTCTGGTAATTTTTCTGCTGTTTACTTACTGTTTTTTTTTTAAATTAGTGTTTGTGGATGTACATTATGGTGAGAATCACTGAGAGGGATTCATATATGTACACAGGAAACCTCAGTCAGATTCAYTCCACTGCCGTTCCCYACCCTATCCCTCCTCCCTTCCTTTAATTCCATTCATCTACTCCTCTGATCTTTCTTCTATTTTTTATACAAGTCCCCCTTACTTTAGATTAGCTTCTGCATATCAGAGAAAACATCTGGCCTTTGACTCTTGGGGACTGGCTTATTTTACTTAGCAAGATAGACTTCAGTTCCATCCATTTACCAGCAAATGCCATAAAGTCATTCTTTTTTATGGCTGAGTAATGCTCCATTGTGCACATGTACCATATTTTCTTTATACATTCATCTGTTGAAGGGCACCTAGGCTGGCTCCATAGCTTGGCTATTGTACATTGTGCTGCTATAAACAATGATGTGGCTGAGTCACTATGGTATGCTGATTTTAAATTTTTTGGATATATACCAAGGAGTAGGATAGCTGGGTCAAATGGTGGTTCCATTCCTAGATTTTTAAAGGAATCTCCATACTTCTTTCTAGATGAGTTGCATTACTTTGCAGTCCCATCAAGAGTGTATAAGTGGACCTCTTTCCCCACATCCTCGCCAACATTTATTGTTACTTGTATTCTTGATAATTGCCATTCTGACTAGCATAAGATGAAATCTCAAAACTGTTTTAAAAACTTATCYTCCAATAAGCTAGAAATTCTTGAAGATATTGACAAATTCCGAGGGACATATGACTTACCAAATTGAACCATGAGGATATAGAAAAACAGATCAATATCAAGTAATGAAATTGAAACAGCTATCAAAAGCCTTCCAACAAAGAAAAGCTCAGGACCGGATGGACTGTCAGCCAACTTCTACCAGAACCTTAAAGAAAAACTAATACCAATTCTCCTCAAAGTATTCCACAAACTAGAAAAGGAGGGAATACTGCCAAACTCATTCTATGAAGCCAGCACCACCTGATACCCAAACCAGACAGAGACACATCAAGAAAACTTCAGACCAATATCCTTGATGAACATAGATGCAAAAATTCTTACTTTTGATCCTTTCAACAACAGCGTGAGGCAAGCAGGCAGGGAAAACATAAGCATATCCATTTTGCAATGAGGAAATGGAGACTCAGCGAGTTTGAGTGACTTGGGGAGAGTGGTGTTTTTAGAACATTAGTCCCGTGATGGCATGCAGGGTGAATTACAGTGTGGGAGAGAGAATTCCAGGAGGTCCCTTAGAAGACTGATACCTTCCCRTAAATGGGAGGTAATATCAGGCCATCGCATAGTAGACGGCTCGGGAAACACAGTGGAGAGAGGAGCTAAGAGCCACCTTCCTGCTCTGTATCCCTCTATTTGCGTTTGGTGCATGAGCACCAATATTTAACACAGTAGGTTAAAGATGAAGCAGCTCTGTCTGATTTAAGAACTGGGGAGGCTGCAGGACAGAAAGGAGGGATATACTGACCAGATATGGCTGAGAGCTTGTCTTCCAGTCAGTGGAGGCTTGCTCTACAAGGAA